TTTTGTACTCTCTCTAGGGAGGGTGTTGTCAGCTCCCACTCTGTGATAGCTACGAGGCTTGTTTCAAGACCCAGGTCAGAATTCCGTCCTTTGAGGGTCTGCCGATTTTGACGGCTGGAAGCCGTAGGGTCTGCAATCTTAGGGGCTCTAAAGTGCTTAGGAGCTGACAACACCCTCCCTAGAGAGCTCCCTTAAAGCCCTTTTCGAAGACCCTTGAAGGGAGGCTTAAGAGGGAGCTTAAGGGTCCTCTCCCTGAGGAGGACTTAAGAGGGGCTTGAAGGGAAGACTTAAGAAGCTCCCCTTCGCCCAAACGTGTGGAGCCCATACTGCTGCAAACCACTACGTGTTTCGGCACAGTGTTCTCTGTTGCTTGCAGCCGTTGTGTGTCATCTGAGCAGCAAAGTAAAAAGTTGCTCAAGCTTTCAGCCGTTTCAAGCAGTTTTTAGAAGCAGGAGAAATGTATTTGCAAACTTTCTTCGCCTTTAAGATCCTAGTACAAATTTGTTTTACACCCTGCAAGCCTTTGCATCGCTTCGTGTGCTCAAGTTGGAGTTAGCGGCGTGCGTAACGGTTTTTGGATTCAAGGTTAAAAGTAAACCACTGTTTTCGCTTTGGCAGCACTCAGTCCAAGGTGGGAACTTGCACTCCGTCTCGACCGACTGGACGCTGTGCAGGCTCCGGGTGAACGAAATGCGGTTTGAGAGCAGACATGCTTGTCCAAGTTACTGCCCCAATCTCTCTTTTCAGACTTGAAACTTTTTAAAAACAGTTCCAACGACGAAAAAAACGTAAAGAAACTTTTAAGTGCTTGAAGCAGTATACACGGAAGCGCGTCCCAAACCAACAGGTTTGGCAGAGTACGTCTAACTTCTTGGCAGCCAGAGCCAACTGTTCAAATCTTCTGGCTGCCATTTTCTGGCAGCCTTCTCTGAAACTTTGGCCTCCTTTTTGCTGCATCCAATTGCGCGAACATGAAAAAAGTTTTCCATGCGCTTCCGCACTCACTCCGCGCACTTCCGTGGAAAAAGCAAGAAAAAAAGTGGAAGACGAAGGAATTGTGCCTTGCACGACAAGGTGACATTTTGCATCAAACCAAAAAAGCATGGAAGAAGAGCTTTCAAACATCAGAGCGTCCGAGTTCTGCCAGAGTGAGCAAGTGTGTGAGTCGGTGCCTGCGGTCCATTGTGGCCGTTTGGAGAATGCGTGTGCGCGGAAGCTGCGTAGAAGTGTGCAGAACTGTGGTTTAGAGTTTTGTTGCAAAATGAGACCGATGCCGGCCATTCAGTCTGGCCAGATTTGCTTTGAAGCCGCGTGATTCAATTCAATTAGAAGAGTAGATGATTCCAAAATCAAAAAAAGCAATTAAGACTGTTGTCATAATTGGCGTTGAGTGTGGAGCCTGCATGCCTCCAACAAGTGTCTAAAGCAGCACGGGTCGAGGTCTGTTGTCCCACAGAAGAGAGTTATTTGTGGAGCGTGAGGCGGACCTGACGTGGGCTAGAGTCTTCCAAATACTCTTCTTCCGTGAAGGAAATGGGCACAGATATGATGCCTGAAGGATCTTTGGTCTGGGAAACACGGAGGGCTTGTCTTGAAACTGCAGAAATGGAAACGGCATGCGGGTGTTCTGGCATTGGTGAGTGTACATGACATGGTTGTACGTCCAAACCGCCTTCAAGGGCATCTAGGATTTGGAACGCACTCCCTCCCCTCCCATGAAAGAAAAAACGGCCGAGTTCGGAATCAACGCGTTCACATGCGGTGAGGAACGCTTTGCAGGGTCCACAACGATTCGGCTGGCTTGAAACGTGGAGAACGCTTATGCTGAAATTCGGGTTGGCGGAAAGTTATCCACAACAGATTACAGTTGACTCAAGTTGACTCACAAACCAGGTTGCCGTGTTTTTCGCGGGCAATTTGTCTTATATTATATCAGCTGACTTGACGAAGATTGTTTAGGATTTGGTTATTGTGCGAAGCGCAATCCGTGCTTGTCCTGAATAACAGGTGAGTGCTGTTGTCGTTCTGGATATAGCTCCCCCCCGGCAGACTGTGGAGACACACGAGGATAGGCGTGCCCGCGAATACACAGCATCAGCTATCTCGCAACGATTTTGTCGTTACATCATGCAGTCAGCATCCCCACTCTCGTACCCAACAAGGAGAAACAGCCGACCCTCCTTTCGATGCTTTCCTTTTTTGCATGCACGCAGCGCTTTCCGTCGATTGCATGTTTGTCCGCAGCTTTATTGTCCGTAGGTGTTGTAGGTTAGGTTTTCATTGAGGATTTGACTGGAGCTATCCTGTGACGCCACTCGGATTGTCGAAGTTGAGCCAGTGCACCCCCGCAAGAGTTTCAGAAGGTGCAGCCTTTGTGGAAGCCGAGGAACAACAGCTCGAAGGTGCTTGTATGACATTGATGGCACCCTCTGGGGACGTGGTCGCAAGCTCAAAATTAGCGGTGTGTGCGTGCGGTTCCGATTTGCCTGCGCAGTGCACGTGATACCATTTGTCGGAACAGGTGTGCTTTGCGCCGAACATCCCGAACATGATCCAATACCCAATGGTGTACGTGCAGACTGGCATGACAGGCGGATCAATTATTTTCAGTCAGGTTGTGGTATGCTCCAGCCTGATAGGTCCTATGGTGTCGTGGGCTCCATCATGTGATGGCAATGCTGCCGCGAATGCAACCGTTGCCACAAGTGCAAACACGAACATGAGTGGCATGGTGGACACGGCAACCGCATGGTGGCCACATCAAGCAATGCAAAATGGGCAGAACTTGCAGGTGCAACAAATGCAGACGCAAGGTCAGCAGGCAACTTTACAGCCCCAGCCACAGCCACAAGTTCAGCAGGCGATGCTGCAGCAAGTCATGGCACAGGCTCAGGTCCAGCCGCAACAAAATCAGATGCAGCAGGTGCAGATGCATCAATCGCAAATGCAACAAGCACAAGTTCACATTCAACAAGTACAGCTGCAAGCGCAGATGCAACAGGCTGCGCAAATGCAGTCGCAGATGCAACAAATGCCCCTGCAACAGCTCCCCTTGCAACCAGTTCAGCAAAATCAACTCCCCGACCAGATGGAGAAGAAGATATTTCATCCACCTTCCCAGTTCCAAGTTGTACGGGTGTCAGACGATTCCCAGCCCAAGCCGCTGTTCAACGCACCCGCGCGTTTGACACCAGCCCAAGTTCCCACTTCAGAACATGAAACTGGAAATGCGCAGGATCAACCTGATGCGCAGCAGCAACCGAAACTTGAGCCACAGGCCGCCACTTCACAGAAGCACCAGCAACATCAGCCACAGCGTCAGCAGAAGCAGCAAGCCGTCTCAGCGCAGCATGACAATCGTCCACATGCAGCGTCCTCAGCGTTGTTGCCGGATCAAGTTCGTCTGCATTCGTATATCCTATGACCTTTGCTAGTACCAAGGCACACCCCGGCAGCGACCTGAGCCGCTTTGTAGAAGGTGTTGGTGGATTTGGTTGTACTTGCTGTCCAGGTCTTACGGAAACGATGAGTACTAAGGCAATGGGCGTGACTCGCATACATCTAGTTTTGGCAGGTCTTGTGTCGCCATTATGTTTCTTGTGTTACTGTTTCGCTCGCACAAGCTGCTTTGCAGGCGAGCGGTAAACTGCGGACGCGGCGCAAGGCAGCAACTGTGTGGGATTTATCTGATGTTGCACACAGCCTGTGTCCCATAGCTCCAGCAAGTTCGGGGTGACTGGATTGCGGTTTCAGCCAGAAATGACGGCAAGTTTTGCACCGTTTGTCATTGTAACAGCTGAAGTGCGTTTTCAGTCGTGAGACCTCGTGTGTGGTGCTTGCAGGAGCCTGGTGTCAAAACAGCTTCTGATCATGCCAAGCTCTTCCAGACGCTCCGGTCACATTTGGAGGTAGGCGACAACGAGGTCTGGTGCCTGCGCAGAGAGATCGAACTTCCATTTGTATCCAGCAGTTTGCTCTGAGCAATGCCGCAGTGCTTTGCAGGTGCGTCTTGATGCCATTCACCAGATTCAGGGGAATGTGGTGGCTTTGGCAATGGAGGTGGCTTGCCTTCGATTTACACAGTGCAGGAAGCAGCAGCATTCAGCATGCTGCTTATCCTGGGTTGCAACCAAGTCTGAGAGCTCCAGTCGTGCCGTGCAGATGGCATTGAAGGCTGGCTCATGGTCCTTCTGGGGTTTGCTGTTGAGATGCTGATGAGTGGTTGTCTCGTCTTCGGTTTCTAGGCAGCTTGGCGAAGTTGCAGTGCTTGGTGCGGGCTTCTGTTCTCAGAACTTTCGTTGCTAAGCTTCGGCTATTGATCAGTCTTTTGCGGCTATGTCCGCAAGGCGAAGCTTGCATTGGTTGAGTTCCCATCCTGGTTCAGCATAGTTGTTGTTGGTGAGGTTGTTTGGCCCCCAGCTCAGAATGTTGATAACAGGCACTGGACGAATGACGTGCCTGGACAGGTGGCAACTCGCCAAACCGCCACGGAGCTGTCAGCAGAGTTGACGGGACACATTGCAGAGGCTCCGACCATGACGGAGACGCATGCGACCGTCGTGCGCTCTTTGCCCATTTTGTGAGGTTTCACTCTCCTTGCATGGCAATCACGTGCTCCAGCGTGTCATCGAGGCAGTTTGCGTTTCCAAAGAGAAGGCCATGTGAAGATGCTTCCAGGTGTTGCCGTCCTCGAAGACTAGCTTCATTGCAGAAGAACTCATGACGAGGGCCGCAGAGGCACGGTCCAGCAGGGTGCAGGAGGGCTGAGCGGTGCAATGCGGTGCAGGTTGCTCGCAACGTCTTCGGCTGCAGAATCTTCTGCCGACTGCTCGAACAGTCGGCCAATCTCACTTCTACGCAGAAGCTCCTTGCGAAGGCAGGCATCAGCTTTTTCCACAGTCGCCACAGCCCTCAGCCTTAGCGGCCTGCAGGTGATGAGAGACTCAGAGGACCTGGTGCAAAACCAGTTTGGAAGGTATGTGGCCGGGGTCTTGGCAAGATGCACAGCTCCGCACTGGCCGGTCTTTGTGGCCCTTCTTGAAGGCCCAAGCCATCCTTGAGCATGGGACAGATGACCAGAGGTCCTTACTTCATGCGCCAGCCATTGGTTGTTTGCTGGTTTCCCTGCGTCGTGAGGCACATGCTCGCTGGAGCTCTCTGCACCGAGCTTGTCCACCCTCGGGTTTTGTGGCCTTTCTGGAGACCTCTGGCAGCTCAGGTCCCCGAATCGTGGATTTAGCCCAGCATCGCACGCGACCCAGTGGTCTGACTCGTTTTGACACTGTCCGGTGTCTCGCAGCCTATCAGGAAATGCCAGCCACGTGATCGAGAAGGCCCTTACCTATTGCTCAGTGGATGACAGGCACGCTTGTAGGAACTCCGCCGGAAAGGTTTTAGCCCATGTTCCGATGCCGATGCAATGCAGGCGTGCTTTGGCTGTTCAGTTGCTGCAGCAGGAGATGCGCAGCCTGAAGATCGAAGCATAGAGAGTCTCAAAGACTGCTTGTATCCTGCTTGCAGGACCCGCGGCATCAGGACACTGGAGTTGAGACTTTGGCGTGCCACCCGCATGTTCCGAGTGTAGAGATGCACCGACGAAAGTGCAGAGAGCTTGGAAGCCAGGCGCACGCAGTACGGTGGCTTTGTAGTCAAGGCGCTTCTCAACCTCGGGGGTGACGTTGAAGCTGAGGCCAGGTAAGCAGGAGTGGCCCGCAAATGCTCCCATGGGCCACTGTGTCCTCTGACAGGCTCGCCGACAGCTGTTAGGCGGCGAGCCCCAGTCCGCGCGAATTTGTGAATCAGAGCTCTACCTCCCAGGGTCCAAGCCGTCATGATTCGCCCTTGCCTCCCGACAGCTGTTAGGCCTCAGCGGCCGCTTTCCCGAGCTCAAGGAGCCCAGAGCCCGTCGAGTCAGGGTTCGAAGCGGTTTGTACGGTTTGTTTTTTCTGTGTTGACGGCGACGACACGACCTGCCGCAGGGCGCGTCCAAGGAGACGCGGTTTGCCGAGAGGCTCCTGAAGGACGGCTCGGACTTCCCCCTGCCGCCCTCTCCTTCGCGCGCTCCTTCGGCCGAGGAGTTGGGCTACTTGCCCGAAGAGGAGGACGCAGATGGCTCGTTCGGGAAGGATGGTCAATCCGCCCGGGCGGGTCGGATTCAGAGGAAGCCACCGAGGCTCGGATTAGGCCGGGACTTCGCTTTCCTGAGCTTGGGAAGTTTGCTTCAGGAGAACTGGTCTGGATCGCTAAGAAGCCGCACGCTGACAAGAATTTATCTGCACTGTGCTGCTTGGGCCAAGCCGCTATGTTTGGCTTCTTGTTCCGGAAGCCTGGCAAAGCGCCATCCCTTTGTAGATAGAGGACTGCAATAGCCGCTTGTCTACAACGACAACGGCTGTACCATATGCATGGCTCTCTTGAACACTCTGACAAGGACACGGCTCCTGTGTGTTGGCTGCCCTTGCCCAGGGTGTATACCTGGCCTGTCGAAGACGGCCTCGCGCGGAGGCGCTCAACTGGAGACTCGATTGATGCAGAGAGCAGAACTCTTTCGTAAGAGCTACGCAGCTACAACTGCAGCCTGGAGCTGCCTCCCCTAGATTCGACGTCGCCCTGGCAGCCTGGCATTTCGTTTCTCTGGGGCAATGTGGGCACTTTTAATCTACGATAGTCCCGAAGCAAGTCATCTCTTTTCCTTGCCCGAACTGACCGGGCCGACATTTGCGCAGCTAGACTGTGAGAAGGGACTATCGTGTTGTGCAAATCGCGAGCTCATTCAACCCCGTAGATTTCACTGTGCACAATGTATCGCTTTCTGCATTTGAAGGCCAAGACTTTTCTGTTCCTGAATGGTGCTAGCACGGAGCTGCACTGATGTAGTCGAGAAATAGGAACGTGTCCTGCTGGCCTTTTCATGCAAGCACCATCGAAATGCTGACCGGGCACAAGACGTCGCAAGGTGCCGGGCCGTTTCTACTTGGATGATGTGACAGGCCAGATAGAGCATGACTGCTCTGCTTCCGTAGCGTGGCAGACTCGTGTCGGTTTCATGCCATGCTGGGATTCTCCAAATTTGGTCAGAAGCGACTGGACATGGGACGGCTCCCCGAAGGCTAACGATGAAGCACTTGTGCAGCCATGATTTCGGAAGCAATGCCGCAGTGGGACCCCCATGGGAGTTGCAGCTTAAAGGAACGCATTTGGCAGGCAGATTGTGCCAAACAAGTGCAAAGTTCCCAAGTTTTTGCAAGGATCTCCACACTATCTTGTTGTCCAACATACGTGCGGTCGTAAAGGATCGTGAAGCCGATCCTTTTGCATGTTTTGCCGTGGAGATCATGTTTCTGCGCATGCCCGTTCAGGCGCCACTGTTCTCACGCACTTTCCGTCCTTCTCTTTCTGTTGAAGACTTCGGAACTCAGCTGTAGACAAGCAGTTTTCGCAAGCTCTCTCCAGGCTCTAGGCTGTCGTTGCTGAGTTTGGCGGAAACTTATTCTCTGAAAAACGGTGGCCATCGTTCAACTCCACCTGCTGGCCAAGATAGTCATGCACCGTGACAGTACAGCAGGGGCCAGCAAAGAGGGTACTCTTGTGCTCAGATTTGGTCATGAGGCATGATCTTCCTGTAGCATGGAGCTGCGCGCATTTGTAACCTGCCTCTCGATCTGGACTATGGCCAGCACAGACGTTCCCAAGTGAAGAGTAGCATCTGTCTCAGCAGCATTATTGCCTGGCAGCCACTGAACAATACGGAGAAAGACTTTAGCGCCCACATTCCATACACAAGTTGCTGGAAGCACAGTACTGACTCATATGCTATGTGTTCCGGACTCTTGATGCGAACACGCAGTCCTCCAGCAACTGGTGCAGACTGCTTTGCTGAAGCATTTTCCCGAGTGCAGGCTGAGGCAAACGGCATCATGGTGACCCGCGCGGGGGATCAACCCAGGCTTTCCTTTCTTTCGACCGGCACAAGAGTTTGTTCGGCTGTTGCAGTTCGCGTGGGCTTGCATGGACTTGCAAGTTTCTTTTGAAGGAGGCCTGGGGCGGCCTTGGCGAACGGCTTGGTCCGAGAGTTTCTGACTCTGCACTTGCACTTTGTGCAGGAAATGCAAGACACCAAGGCTGCTGCACTATGCGCGGCAGCTGCAGAACACTCTGAGGCACGCTAGAGACTCGTTGCGAGTTCCCTTGACATGTTTCCGTAGTACTCGAGGCACATCCGGTGGAAAAGCTGCGCCACAAGGAATGTGTTCGAGCCGCATGGCAAGAAAGCAGAAGCATCTTGCAAAACGCAGGAGCCGGATGATGCAGCTCGAACTGAGCGTTCAGCAGTTCCACTGGCCATCAGACGTCTGGAGCAGCAGCTCGAGGCTTTCAGGGTTGAGGGTCTTCCGCTGTCGAGAGATGTTGGGATCGGGAGGTGGAGAGGCGGCAGATGGAGCGGAAGCTGGAGAAGTTGGAGAAGCGGCTGGAGGAGGCATGCAGAGCATCGCAGAGCCGCTCTCAGAGCCCCGCAGAGCCTCGGTCTTGGCAGGTGGCGTGCACGAGTACGGCGTCAGGGAGATGGGCCGAGCTGCAGGGCCACGTGCGGGAGCCTACCGGGACGGGTCGGCATCATCCTCTTCTCTTCCTCTTTCGGCATTGTGAGGGTTTTTGAGTATCGACAGCCGACTTTGCTCGGAATTTCTAGACGGCTCCCGGCCAAGAAATGCTAGCAGCAGACAGGCAGAGGGTGGGGTTGGCCTCTGGGGGAGGTGGATGGCCTGGCGGATGCAGTGCAAACCCTGATCAGGCGGGAAGAGAAGCTGGCACGGGAAGCAGTCACTTGCACTTTTTGCGCCCTGTGGCCAGGGGCGGGCCGCCACAAGGCGGCCAGCCGCCAGGTGCCGAGGCCACGGCAGACAGAGGTGGAACCGTGCGAGCCTTGAATCGCACCTTGTCAGCTGAACTCTGACCACCTCAACAGACCCAGCCTTTTCCAGGACACTGCGGTTTGGAAACGCTTCGATATCCTGGAAGTGAAGCTGCAGCAGTTGGAGGACGCAAGGTTTTCATGAGTTCGAAACAATGAATGTAGTCTGCTGCAGGAGTCGCGTGGCAAGTTCATTGATCTGCAATCGCAGTCGGACAAAGTGAATCTTGACCTGCCTACGTATTACTTGCTTATGGCCTGCCTTGATGACCCACACATGCTGTGTGCATGCGATGGACTGCTTCTGACACCCAGGACGGCTCAGATTGCAGACTTGGACTCGAAATTGTTGCAGTTGGTCGGCAGGCATTGAAGGGAGGAACGCGTATCCCATAGCAGCCGGTTTGCATGCAGGCTGGCGCAGGTGGAGCGTGGGGCTCCGCACGTCTCTGAGCGCACATCGGAGGTCCACCACCAAGACACGAAGTTGTCCGCTTTGCGTTCTTGCTGCTCGTGCTTTCCAGGTTCTGGGGCCGAGCTTACAAGGCGGTTTGCACGCTGTCCACAGTGAGACCTAGTTGAACTTGTTATGAGGCATCCACGAGGCCATGGAGCAACTTGCTCTACGAGTGCAACATGTCGAGGATCCTAAGGACAAGGAATCTGTTTTACGTGAAGCCAAGTGGGGATGCACGGATTGCAGGACATCGTTTGACTTTGACTTTGACAGGAACCCAGCGGGCTGGCGGAAACATGCCAGCAGGTCAAAGGGTTCTTGCGTGTTCATGTACTAATCTTTACGTCATTTACGTCCACCTGCGACGATCAACCAGCGTGATGGCATTGGTTGCACAGACAATGCAGTGCAGAAAGACAGCGGGCCTCCTTGAGCTGACCTGGCTTTCTTCTTGGGAGGTTTGTGTGCAAATGGATTTGCTCCGTAACGAGGTGGAGGACATGCTGTACCTTCATTGGTGAGACTTTCCATTCCCTCACCTCGCTTTGAGACTTGAGTGCAGGAGCACACAGCAATGCTGGAGGATCAGGTGCTGCAGAGACCTATCTAGTGAAGTCCAACTCGAATCGGAGAAGCATCGCCAGGTTGCAGAATTAGATGCTCGCATGCAGACCTTCGGTTCTGAGATCCAGGAGACGGGCCACGCTTCAGGCTAGACATTGTGTCCAAACACCACCAATTCTGGAAGGACCTTGTGCAGACACAAGAAGCTCGCCTTCAAGTAGATAGCGTTGGGGAAAGGGCCTTGCGCCTGGCTCTCCGCGCTCAGAGAGTTTCGCTTGCCTGCTTTGCCACAGAGTGTCTTGACCTTTTGTGCAACGAGCTCGACGTGGCAGGCAGTCAATGCACAAGACTTCTCCGAAGATGCCCGAGAAATGCGTGAGGAATCTCAGCATGAAGCAGGATTCGATTGCACCGCGCGGACAGTCTGTGCACTCCAGGAGCTGACAGAGATGAGCGAAGACTTGACTTCGTTGTGGCAGAGGGCACGCTCGGCCGGCTCGGCCGCTTCGGGGCTGCATCGCCGGGTTTGGGGCAGGTGCAAAGCAGTGAGCTGGGCCTGGACTCCATGGCCGAAGCGGTCGGCCGCATCTGCGAGGACCAAAACACCCCGCGAGCTTCTGCGATGCTTAGGATTGTTCGATTGCTTTTGCTCTCTCGCAAGGAGTTGAGCCAGCTGAAGTCACGACGAAGCGCTGTCACTCAGCCTACCTCAGGCTCTGCCTTACCTTCGCCATACCTTCTCCGTTCTGTGTCACACTCCATCTCTGCATAGGCAGCCCTGCAAGCTCGCGGCTGGGAGAGGTGCTCCCCCGGAAGACTTCCTGAAAGACGACCTAGGAAGCGAAGGGCGATCCATCCAGGCTGTCCGTGGTGGCCGTGATCGAGACTCCGAGGACAGAGCTCACATTAACACCTGTTGACGTTGTGTGATTCCTCGCACAAGGCAGCCTCGGTCCGCCAAGCTTCTGGCTCGTGGAAGGTGAAAGCCAGGAGTAGAGCCGCACGCGCCGCCATCAAAGCATGGATCCTTCATGCTAGCGGCATGGAGGGCGCACCTCCAGGCAGACAAGCCGGCCATTGGCCTGGTTGAATCTCGAAATTGCATTGCGTCCAGGCGCAAACTTCTCAGTTGGACAGCGGGTTTTCGTCAGCAACCGTGCTGGCACGGTTCTGGCCTCATTGCGACTTGTGCTGATTGGAGATGCTATCGTTACCTTTCAGCACGGATGCTTGCAGGTCCGTTTCTGTGGCCAGACAGAGTTTGCTGGCGGAGTTTGGGTGGGAATCCAACTGGATGATCCGGTTGGAAGGACA